TTCTTTAATACAGATTAATTTGGACCATTCTGCTTGTCATCAGGAATTTAAAACAAACCACAGGGTGCAACTTTCAAGAGAAGGATTGAAAGAATGAAAAAGGGAGGGAGGGAAGAGGGGAGATAAAGTGAGAAGGAGGAAAGGAAGGAAGAAATTAAGGGAAAGATACTAAACAGGGAGGCTGCAGGTGGCCCCATAGCCTCTCACAGACAGCAAAGATAAAGCGCCAGATACGGAAGATTTATCAGTAGTGAAGACGGAAGGCACTGAAATGTGTTCCACCCTTCATAGGGGTGCAGAGGAAAATAAAAATGACAGATGGGGATACTGCTTTAAAGTATTTAAGTATTTTCATTCTAGTTAAAGCAAGAAGGAAAATCTTTCGCTATCATATAACATTTGCTCAAATATTAAGATTCTCCGGGTTTTAATACATTATAAAATAATTCTGTATGATGACTGGAACCAAGTGGCCAGCCTTTACACATTGTTTGCTCAGGCTCACTTTGGCCCAGAGATGCCGAGTGATCTTATGGGTAAGTCCCAGACCTGCACATCAAAACAAGCCGTGACAATGATGCTTCATGTTTGTTTTTTTTTTTCCCCCCAATATTTCCAAAATTAGTCTAACTCTTCTCCAGGTGAGCCATACTCTGTCACAGCTGCCTAGGACCAAAATGGAGTGATTTTTTCCATCTCATCCTTCATGTACACCTTGTTGCCACTCTGGTTGTGGTTTCCCTAACTTTGACCTATTTGACTTTAGATGCATTTTTTGGACTAAAATGTCACAGTGCAGCTGCAGCTATTAACATTTACAGCCTGGGGACGCTTAGAAGGAAACAATCCAACAAACGTAACCTTTAGTTCTCATAAGGAGCAATATTCCCAGATTTGAGGGTCAGAACATCCTTTATGCCTAATCATCAGAAGAGAAGAACTACTGAAAGCCAGCGTGTCTCTACATTGAAAGTCTTTTTGTTGATGTTTTTCTTCCTTTTGGTAAAAAGAGAAACAAACTTATTTGCTGCTGAGCAAGCCAGAAAAAAACAAAACAAACCCAAACCCAAGCAAACAAACCCCATTTCTCTAGCACTGCAGTAAGTTCCCCAGAGGCTGTCCTGAGGACAGCAGAGCATTGCTGAGCTGACATGCACATCAGCACAAGAGGGCTGAGAAAGAAACCCTCAGAGAGCACACCAGGAGGTGCTGTTTTTCTCCAGGAAATCAACGCTCCGACAGACTTCAGACTTGCGAGAATTTCACTGAGGCGATAACAAATCATGGTCTTGAGTGTGTTTCCCAGAGGCTGTTCACTAACCTGAGCAGACATATCAATGAGTTTTGGGAGATTCAGTTGGCTTCCTTCTTCTGTCTTCAAGTAATCCAGCAAACACCCTGCAAAAGAGGAAAGATTGCTGTGACTCTTCTGAATAAGCCTTTGCTTAAATAAGCATTTGTTTTCTCCTGGTGCTTCTCTGAATATGTACAACAAATCTGCCTGCATCCTAGAGAAGATCCAAGGAACCACAGTGTGCATTTGCAGCAGCATCTTCCATTAGGAAAGTTCCCAAGTGCAGCCCATTTTTCCCATGTATTTTGCACAGACCTTTTGTAAACTGCTGGCCATCCTTCACTCAAAGCCTTACAGACAAGAGGGGCAAAAGAAAGCAAAATTTCACCATGGGGGAGTAAAAGACTGAAACAAACTTCCAGTAGGAACAGTGGAGATGAGGACTTTAAATACTCTTCAAATGGAGCATCACTATCTTGTGAAGTAGTTTATGAAATATGAGACCAAAAAAGGCAGGATTTCATCATCCAGAAAGTCCCTTCCAGTACTAGGAACAAACCTGTGGGTCACTTAGTCCTTCTGCTAACAGATTCGGTACAATTCCCTCCTCCCCACCCCCATTACACATGGGAGTACCAGCAGGCTTGCTGACCTGATTTTGCAGAAACCCAACAAAAACTCAGTGAGTCTCTTTACCGTTGGCCATATACTCTGTCACAATGTAGATTGGCTGCTTCGTGACTACTGCGTATAGCCGGACCAGTTTGCTATGCTGGAGCCTCTTCATCAAGTTTGCCTCTGCCAAGAAGGCATCAGGATCCATGCTGCCCTCCTTCATGGTCTTCACAGCCACCTTGATGTTGTTCTTGTAATAGCCTGCAGAGAGATAATGATGCATTGAGGAATTTTGGTGACTCTATGGGCTCTATCAGGCTGTGCAATAAGGAGCAGAAGAGCATGTGGATCAGGGAGCAGAAAACAACAGCAACAGCTTACAGTCTCCCGGCAAGAAACAAATGGAAAATTTGTGGGCTCTGAGCATCCAACAGGTATGAGAAGAGAAGGGAAAGACACAGCACAACTGTCAGTCCATGTGGCTTCAGGAGGGATCATCTCTGCTCCAGGTGGTGGACGTCCATGCAATAAGCCCATCCTCATGCAGTCATCCCAGCCCTGCAAGATTCCTTCTGGGTGAAAACCCCTGGGCCTCCCATCAGCTGCGTTCTCAAATAATCCAAATGCCATTGAGAAAGCCAGGACACTGCAGTCAGGATGTCGACTCTGTCTGGTCCTGTCCACAATCTCAATTGCCAAGGCAACAGGCAACCACAAAGAGGACAGCAAAGGAAGCTGAGCTCACCCCACTTCCTCTCCCACTGATAAGCAGTGGGCAGGAAGCTGTAAGGGATTCAGATTTGGGTTAGAAAGTGGAACAGGTAAAAGTGGGATAATGCCACCCAGGTACACTGCTGTGTGTAACTTAGGATCCTACAGCCATGCCCAGGATTCCCAGGAAGAACGAGAGCATGTCTCAGGAGATGAGTATGTAGTTACTTCAACACCTCTCATATGTGTCTAGCCTGTGAAATCCATGCTCAACCACTGATCTGTGTAAACACAACTGGTCTGGTCCTTCCCAGGAGTATGGCATCTACTGCTCTTTGTGTACCCATAAATGTGTGTTCATACTCTATGATCCCCACTCCCAGACTAATCTTGTCTTAGGGAAAG